GCCCTTGGTGGCTTTCTTGCAGACGTTTCATGACCCAACTAGGTAACATCATCAGTGCTAGAAGGGAGGGAGGTTTGCTCCCTGCTTATATACAGTAGTTTGTGCTACCAACTCAGACAAACAATCAAACAGCAAATCACAACCTCATCAAGGAACCACCAAGAACACTCCCAGCAAAACTGACAGGGCCATCCACTTGTATATAAACAGAGAGCCAGCCCCTCTCCCTTGTAGCACTGATGATGTTACCTAGTATGGTAATGAAACGTCTGTAAGAAAACAGTCACACTCAGAGAGCACCAAGGACCCCACAGGAACCCTAATGCTTGTTGGAGAGGGGATTAACGTGCTGCATCCTTCCTGGCAGCGCTGTGCTCACCCTCCTTGTTGCCCTCCTGGCCAGTTCTTGCCCTCCCCATCTCTGTCTCCATCACTGACCAGGTGTGCAGGTTGGGAGTCCGTGGTGCTTCCTCTCTGCCCCGAAAGCCATAAAGCTCCAAACGGGAGGCGAGAATACGTTGGGGTAGGTTTCTTTTTCTTCACAAGCTGATGGTGATGAAAGAAGTTGGTGCTGCTCTCAACCTTGGCCACCTGAAGAGGTGCGGACTTCAACTCGCAGAATTCCCCAGCCAGCATATTAAAAGTTGCTAAGGTTGAGACGCACGGAGAGAAGGCAAGTCACCCCGATAATTTTGAACGTGTGTATTCTCCGTTGAACGTTTTGACAGTTCAAGATCTGACTTTCTGTTCACCGGCTCAAAGGCAGGCCTCACAAAGTGTCCAGCAATGAGCTTTCTCCCAGGTTAGACTCAACTACATTATAGCAAAAGCAGAAGAGTACTGAATTCTGCCTAATATTTTGAAAATAACTAAATCACCCATTTTTGTTGTACCTCCTTATTTAGGTCGTGGGGCGATGTTTTATTTTCCCCGCTCTAAGAACCCTTTCTGTTGCTCCTTGACAGTCCCAAGCTCGGATAATAATATGGTGGGTTTTTCTTTCCTTTCTTTTCTTACTTTCTCCTTTTTTTTTTAAGTTTCTCCTTGCACAATTGTAATACACCCAGCAGCCTGCTGAGAGTGCAGCAGTTCTGACTTTCAATACTGGCCATGTTTTATAAGTTGCTAGTTCCATTAAAATAAAATGTAAGCAATCCATAAATATTCATGTTCCTGAAATACGCTTTTTGTTTAAGATTTTTTTTTTTAAAAAAGCGCTCGCTTCTATTTACCTAAAAGTTCTTTACTTTCCCTCTCTAACAAAAAAGGAGAATTTTGCTGAACACACACACACACACACACACACACACACACACACACACACACACA